TTCATTGAATGATGTTTATTCTGCTGTGCCTCTTGGTTGAGAATTTCTTCCTCCTCTCTATATAGAATTCATTTAAGCCTCTACTTTACTTTTGGCTTGGTGGTCACTGATCAGTTTGTGCTTGTCTTCAAGTGTCTTACTACTCTGTCAATTCTACAATGTAATTTTTGTGATTAAATCAATTTGTGATTAAATTAATCATAATTGACAGTTATTTACTTTCGTGCCTTGATTTACATTGTTATATGTGCTCCTCAGATTTATGTTTTCTATTGAGATTTATGATGTCATTCTGATGAGTCTGACTTTGTAAGTAAATTGACATTTTCCCCTTAATAGATTCTACATTGTCTATTTGATTTGTACTTCTGGCATTTTGACCAAGTATCATGCTGGAAGGATGCAGCTGTAGGTGTCTCTGTAAAGTTTTAAATGTCCCAGCCTCTATGACACTGAGAAGTGGCTCCAGAGGTTTATTGAAACAATGATCTCAGGCTAAGGGTTATCAAACTCCAAAAGTATTCTTAGATAAGGATGTCAACTCCTTAGCCATCAAGGGTGGGGCTTTCTGCACACACTTCAACACCTGAGTGAATCCTCCTGTCATCTACACTTCTGGAGTTGTCAGTTCTGTCCCTCTCACTCTCTGAATCTCTTCCTATTGCTCTGTCTCTCACATCTATTGATAACAGGAATAATGGCTCCGTATTCTCGGGCCCCAAGGATAACAGTTTTAAAGAACAGGCTTTGTCTCAAGCTGGCACTTGGTCACAGATCTCTATCTAAGGCACTGCCATTGCATCTACACCCAAACCAGGATTAGAGGCTTATAGGAGCATTTCTATAGGTTGGACACCCAGTCTACCTTCACCAGGGCCACCTAGCTTCCATTTTGGATGTGGTTTCTTTTCTCACCCTGTCTACATAACTGGGGCTGCCTGGGTCTTAGTTCCTTTGGCGGATATCCTTTTGTATACCCATAACTATCATCTTTCCAATCACTCCCTTTTCTCCTCTTTTCTGTCTTTCTTTAGGGTAGAGTTGATTCTTTCATATCCCAACTCTTCTCTTTCACTGTGTCACACAGAGGCAACTCCCAATCTGCCATCTTATTTGGAAGTCTTTTTTTTTTTCCAAGACAATACTGATATATGCAATAAAGTCATGGCCACGTTGGAAAACAAAGCTAATAGAGATCTTGGCCCTGTTTAAATTTTCTATTGATCTGTTGATTGTTGGATTTCAAGGTACTAGGTATTGCATCTCAATTTTCGCATGTATTAGGAAAGTAGTCCACTACTGAGCCATAATCTAGTTACTTTCCTTAGTTTTTAAACAATAGTTTTGTCAATTCTTTAGGAAAATCAAATAATGCATTTTAAGACATATTCAACCCCCTCCCTCAATTCCTTCTGTAACTACCCTCTCCTTCCTCCTATCCCTTTGCATTGAACTTTATGATTTCTTCCCTCCCCCACCTTGCTTTCCCATTTAGTCCAGTTTATGTTACCTGGCTAGTCTTGGGAGTGGGACCTGTCATGGCATGTGGGTAATCTTCTGTGGGGTTCGGGTTACATTGTTAAAGAATGCAGACTCCCCCTCTCCTAATAGCTTCCAAAACCTAGCAGTTCCTCAGCTGGGGGTGAGATTTTGTGCCCACCTTTCCTATTCTGGGATTTTATCTGACTGGAGATTGCCCAGGTCTTGTGCATGCCGTGAGTTCATATGTCCAACTGTCCTATTGTACCTAGATAACATTGTAACTACCACTGGCTGAATAACATAGTTTCCAGGCACCTCTGGCTGGTGCCATTAAAGGAGCCAAGAGTCTATGGGTAGATAGGTCATAGGCCCCAGGGAAGAACCCAATGCTCTGATTCTGCTAAATGGACATAGTCAAACAGCTTCCAATGATTTATTGAAGTAACCATGGATCAGAGCATTTCTCAGCTCTCATCAGAGAAGAATCTCCTTGAAACAGATGGTAATTAACACAGAGACCCTCAACTGGCCACCTTGCAGAGAATAAGAATGTGCTGAGTGCTCATCCCTAAATAGGGACGCATGTCTTCTTAATATTTCAGTGCTCGGTTTTAATTTGAAAGATGTAGAATATTTCTGAAATAATGCATTTCTATTTCAGCAAGATTTATGCGATAGTGTTATGAGATGAGATGATAGAATGAAGATAGATCTTTCTTTTTATTTTGGGAAGATTAGAGGAGCATTAAAATAATAGAATAACATTACAAATCCTGTTCTTGTTTCATTTCAGCCATTTTATCAAAAGCTCTTTTTGGTTCAGTGTACCATTGCCTTCACCAAGATTCAAAAACAACCTGGAAGGCTGAATGGATACACTGTTACTAAGAAAATGACTTTCTGTCAGCATAAATAGAATCATGCCTATTGACTCTTAAATTTATGTCTTTAAAATTAAATGTAGGGTTTGGAGAGATGGTTCGGTAGTTAGTTAAAAGCATTGGCTGCTCTTCCACAGGACCTGGGTTTGAATTTCACCACCCACAAGGCAACTAACAACCATCTGTACCTCCAGTTTTAGACGATCTGACTCTGGCTTCTGGCTTCTGGCTTCTGTAGGTGCTGCATACACATGGTCCACATACATACATGCAGGAAAAACACCCATACACATAAAATAAAAATACATAAATCTCTAAAAAGTAAAATTAAATGTAATGCATTTTATGAATGAAGAACAACTGATTTTAAAGAAATTCATGAGAAAAATGTATTTAGTGGGAGGGTTTGAACTAAACCATGAGCAATTTAGTGAAGAATTGCTAAATAAGTGGGTACCATCTAAGCCAGCATAAAACCAGGATTCAGATAAAAGGATACCCCATCTGAGTCAGTGTCTTGAGCCTTGATCACCACTTGTTATGCCAATCATACTTCTCTGTTGCTGTGATAAGACCCTGATCACATACAACTTAGAGGATGACAGGTGTATTTCCCCTTACAGGTTACTGTTCATCAACACCAGAAGCCACGCCATAAGCTTAAGGCAGGAACCTAGAGGCAGGAACTGAAGCCGAGACCATGGAGGAACATGTTTACTGGCTCAGTCATCTATCTTCCTTTATAGGTATACCTGCCTATAGGAGGCACTACTCACAGTAGTCTGGGCTCTCCTACATCAGTTAGTCACACACCCCCACAAGCATGCACACAGGCCAATCCAATGGAGGCAGTTTCTCAATTGTGGTTCCCTCTTCCCAGGGTGTCAAGTTCACAACTGAAACTGACTGTGACAAGGTCCCAGCAAAACATAACCTGGGCAAAAGTGCAAAAATTACCTCATACCAGGAACAGACAAAACAACCCAGAGGACCTGATTTGGAGTAAAAATAATCTTAGACTTCCAGGTAAGATGGTGGACAAGATGGTGGACAAGATGGTGGACCTCCTTGTGACCCAAAGAAGAAGAACAATGTCAGAGTATGAAAAATTAGACTCTATTCTCAGATGAGGAAGTGGGGAAAAGCTTCAGTAATTATCAAAACTTGTGCCAGGATATGTGAAAATTGTGGAGGAAGAGATATGCAAAGCACAGAAAAAAAAACAACAAAAAACAAAAACAAAAACCAAACTGAACCAAACCAAACCAACCAACCTAACAAAAACCTCAGCCAAGCTGAACACAGCTCTGGCTGTGTGATTTGCCAGAGGGCAAAAGGAAGCAGAAAACTCACCAGGAACCTAAGCCAGGCAGCCCTGGTGAAAGCAGGCAGACACCATGGCAGCTGCTGAAGTGTGGCACTGACCCTCCCTTTCTTCACTCCAGTTAGGGAAGTTCAACTTTGGAAGTAATTCTTTCATCTTCTCTGTTACTCATGATTCAAGTGAGGCTGGCTCCAGAGCCGCCCACCACTCCCTTCACCCTCTGTATACAGGGTGAAGACTGAATTCCTTCTCTCTTGACTTCGACCTCATCTGTTTTTGTTCTTTTATCTCCATGGTTCTCGTAAGTTTTGTAAGGATTGTAGTCTTGGATATTACAACGAACAGTACATTTTACTTACCTGTTTTCCATATTATTCTACCAGAACACACATCTCCTGAGAGCAGGGAGGCTGGTCCACTCTTGCCTGATGGCTCCCTTGTGATAACTCTGGTGCAGTACTGTGCACAGAACCAGCTTTCTATGCGTTGACTATATATGGATGGAAGGGTGCATGTAAATTTCTACTACTCACGTCTTTTCCACTTACTGTCAACAGCTCTAGGAGGGCTCTCTTTATTCACTCTTGTTCGTACAGTAAGTATCAAACTATGTGAAACCACGAACTCCTGCCGATTAACTATCTCCTACAATTATTTTATAGAAGTCTGTTTTTCCTGTGGATTTTCACCAGCCCCTGTAATATGAATTGAGAACCTTGACCAGAGTGATGCTAAGAAGTTAACCTATGATATCTACCTACAGCAGATTATACATAAGCATGTATCTACATATGTATCTTTTTTTGTTTGTTTGTTTGTTTTTTTGTTTTTTGTTTTTTTTTGTTTTTTGAGACAGGGTTTCTCTGTGTAGCTTTGCGCCTTTCCTGGAACTCACTTGGTAGCCCAGGCTGGCCTCGAACTCACAGAGATCCGCCTGCCTCTGCCTCCCGAGTGCTGGGATTAAAGGCGTGCGCCACCACCGCCCGGCTTTTGTTTTTTGTTTTTTGTTTTTTTTTTTTTTTTTGTACATATGTATCTTAAGTAACTGGTTCAATAGTGTGCTGATACTACTTCTAGGCTACACTTACAGAGAAGCCAATAGATTATGAGGCCAGTTCATTGAGACATACGAAAATATACATGTACATCTTAGGAGCTGTTGGCTGTACATGAACAGAGTATGAACATTATAATGGGGCTATAAAGTGGTCACAGGACACGCCTGAATCCTGGACTTATTTATTATGTCATGTCACTACTTTTATATTTTTGCTTGAGTTGGTCAACAGTGCATTTGTTTTCTGCTGACTCACCACACTCTCCATATCCATCCACAGTGCATTCCCTCATGTGCATCAGGACACATCGGATTGTGTGATGTTTACTCAGAAGACCCTTATTATTTATGCAAGCAAGCAACCTGAAAAGAGAAGAAGAAAACGTTTACCCCAAAGAATAGTAGTTTGGAATTTTTTTGAAAAAATGTTTTAATAGAGGCAATTTGAAAAATGTAATGGTAGGGCTCTCCACGAGATGGCACTCATCTTCCTCCCACCATCTAAAGTTCCAGTGCATCCACAGAGTACCAATGTATCTATATGCATATACATATACACATTTACAGATGTGCACATATACCTGCTCATATGCGCTAAAATACAAAAATCACCAAGTTGATTTTGTGCCTAGAAATGTACTCATATTAGGCAAGGATGAGGGACATGTCTTAAATGAAGTATAAATGGGAATGAAATGCCACAAACCATTTCAGAAAGACTACGTATCTTGGGGACACTGAGGAGATTAGCAATTTAGAAACCTGCTAATGTTTTCTGAAGTGCATCCATGTAGAGTTCCTGATTCTCAAAAGGAATCTTGCTTGCTCTTGCCAGCCTCTGAGACCAGAGAGTAGCTTTCTGTTTCTCCATTGGTAAGGTTTAATCTAACCTAATGCCTTCACTTTCAGTTCTCCCCCTGTTCATCTCCCAGCCCTGTGCTCTTGTTAGACTGCTCTAGCGGCAACAGACTTTAGTATGGATTTTGAGGTCGAAGACTCACAATTATGGCCAGCTGGAGAATCAACTAGGGTTTTGGATCATTTCAAAGTCATCCTCTTCATTACATTAGCACTAAAACGGGGAAGGATCAAGCAGGCAGACACTGGAGACGGCTGCACCAAATAATCCAGGGGTAGAAAAAGAAGCTTCGCAACATCGACAACCACAACACACCTTAGCAGCTTAGACACTCATCTCAAACTGGCCACGTGGCCATTCAACTCAAATGGGTGCTTGGGAGTCAGAGTTGGAAAGGACACATACACACCACCGGCTTTGGCACCTGTCATTCCTGCCTCTGTGTGAGACCCTTCTCCCTCCTGGCCTGGTTTCTTCTTCTTCAGTGAGCTGCCCTTCTCAGTGAACATGTGGCCATTTCCCCCAGTGCACCTCTGTATCTTAAATCATGTTTGTGAGGACGTTTAATTTCAAATCATTTTGACATCTGAAAGTCATTTGCTCTGGTTGTCCTCAGCCACAACGGTTTGGAAGCTGACATGTTCATGCTGATTTTACAAATAAGAATCCTGAACCAAAGAACTAACTCGGCCAAGGTCAGAAACTAAACAAAAGGAAGGCCTCAGTTGACTAGAACTCCAGACCTACAGTTAGTTCACTCTGCTTTTTACCTGACCAGTGAAATGGTTCATCATTGGTGTGTCACAGGAAATGAAGACTTCATTTTCTTCTCTGTACATGAACATTGTAAAGCAAAGATCTTTCCCCAGTAGATATTTTACATGTGGCCCTTTTTATTCCCAAGTACTGTTTGTTAGAACCTTCTTGAGACACAGCCATGACCTCGGAGGAAAGATACAGTATATTAAATTGCTTCTAGTCCTAGAACTGGATTTTCATTAAGGCCAGTGCCTGATTCTTTTTTAGTACTGCCCCTGGGCACTTGGGAAAGAGTTCATTTTCATGGCTGGCAAGGGCATCATTCAAAAGACAATTTGAATGTGGCCTTTGATGTATTCTTTTCAGAGATACTGTTTGGATAACCTGCAGGGAAATCATTAAAACATACTAAAAGTGAATGCTATTTCTACTTTTGTGAGCACACACATAAAGAAACACTGATAAAATTCTGAATGCTGTTGTATATTAGTGTAAACTGGCTTCACAGTGTGTGTGTGTGTGTGTGTGTGTGTGTGTGTGTGTGTGTGTGTGTGTGTGTGTTATGAGGGAAAGATGTTATGTTCTCTTGGAAATAGCCTATCCAGAACTTATTAAATTATAGGCCACCAAACCAATCCCCAAATTTTCAGTACTTTGTATTTGAATTTACAAAGTCTGAGGATGTGAAGACAAGCCAAGAGATAAAGAGCAGAAGTGTGAGGCATACTTACCATCACAAGGGGGCATCCAGTTAACATTCTTCAAAAATTTACTTTCAACTAACCTGGTCTATTATTTACTGTTCTTAGGTATGGTAAAAATATATGAAAGAAACCATTTAATAAAGGGTTTGTTCTGGTTCATGGCTTCAAAGGATTCAGTCAATGGTTGTTTGGTCCCATGCATTTGAGCAGGATATTATCATGGCAGAGGACATTCTTTCTACCCTCATTTTAGACAAGAAACCGAGACAGGGGAATGCGACTATTTTAAGAGCCTTTTTGGTTTTCTTCTTTATTCTATCCAGTCCCTAGCCCAATGGAGGGTGCTACCTACTTACCTATTTAGGGTGGGTGCTCATCCTTAATTAATCCTAATGAAAGTATGCTCACAGACAGACGCAGAAGGTGGAGGGGAAAATAATTTTATAAATCTAACGAAGTAGACAGTGCTAAGACTGACTGAGACTTGGCAGATCCTAAAGTGGCTAGCCCCACTCTAATGAGTAGCCTTCTGCTTGCTCCCCAGGCATCCAAAATGTCTCCATGTGCAGGTGCATGCATGTGAATAAATCAGAGTGGTGTATGTGCACATATACAACATGATTACATGCATGTAGTGTCTGAAAGCAAATCAGGAAACATATTTCTGATGCAATTTGCTGGCTTTTAACACTTTCTTATTGACTTCTAAAAATAAACAGCAGCTAATATTCCACCAGCAATTATAAACACCTTAATGGTACAGTTGGCATTTATGTACATCCATAAATGTGTATTTGCACACATCCACAAAGGAAAAACATGCAAAGAACACAGATGTGAGAGATACATATTTAGTTAGTATGATTTACCTAGTTAATAGCTGTTTTAGCTCAGGTCTTCTAAGAAAGGCATTCTTAGACAGCAGTCCTTTGCTGAGTTTCAGTGGATTTCTCTCCAAAGCTGTGGCTCTGTTCATTTTGTTCTCTGCCAAGTTTCACATCGCGAAAAACAATAGCTTAATATTGGAGTGGTTAAATTCCAGGGAAGATTGACAGAATGGAGTTCTCCAAAACCTAAACCCTGCCAATTTTGATGTCCCTAATTTATTTTAACAACCGTTTAAGTCTGAATGCCTCCATTTTAATCACATTAACAGTATATTACAGAGCCTAAACACCCAAAGAACTCCAGTGGCAAAATGAGTTTGGCTGTTTCTCCTCCTCTTTTATTTGGAATGATATTTGCTTCAGGCAAACCCAATTCTTTGGTAATTTCCCATTGACTTTCTCTTCTTCTTCAGTGCCTGGACCTTAGCATTTACCCAAATATAATCGGGAAAACACACATACTTATTATCCAAGTAACAGCATGGGTGCCAGACTTCTCGTTGCAGGAGTGCTTACATTTTCTGTGCAATTGACTGATGCTACAGGAAAATTGTTTGAACAGATTCACATCAATTCCTGTCAACCCTAAATGCAGGCCCAATTGGCATTGTGCTGTAACCACAGGAGTGAAAGCTCCAAGGAAACCATGCACCCCAGTTTCCATGCCTTCATCTTATCAGGCAACAATATATTCAGCATTCAATAGGCCAGATGTAGAGACTTATTTCTGTAAAGCCTGAGCCATGGCCAGTCCGCCCATGCCTCTAAGGCCCTCATACTTAGTGGCAAGAAAGCTGAATATTCCATGAAGGTTAGGTTTTGTTTGTTTGTTTGTTAAATCAAGCGCTTCCCTTCTCCAGGGTCCAGTTTCTGTCAACAGCCTACACCTCAGGAAATAAAAAAAAAATGCTTCTACCCCGTGCAAGCCAAGCAATTTTCACATTTATTTTCCCAGAAGCTGTCGAACCACACGTGCACAGACTCTGAAAATACCCATGCACCATTTTGCAAGGTTGTCAGGCTTGGGTTGACCAAGGAAAGGAGCTATGCTGTCCTCTTAATTATGCTGCTGCTATATACGATCCAGAAAGTCATTTGTACTCTTGGAGATTATGTTTGCTCAGTTAGTACAATGAGAGAAATAATTGCGTCTGCTTCATACAGGGCTGCCATGAGAAACAAATAGGATATTGTATAAAAATGTAAAACAGAGCTTCCAAATTGAGTGTTTAATAATCCACTTCATATGGTCAGTGTTGAATAAGAGCTAAACACTAGCGATAGAATGATCATCATATGGTTTTAGCTCAAGACTTATTTGAGAGATGGTGAAGCTTTCTGTGATCCTGAGTTCCACAGAAGACTTCTTCAGAGGTTTGCTGCTGCTCATTACTAAGCACTATTAGACTAGATTGTGGTGGCTCCCAGAGTCTCTACACAGTCTATGCTTAAGGGCAGCTATATGTTTAGAGGAGCAGAGACTGGGTTCAGTTGCATTTGCATAGTAATCAACCTCATTTGCCTGGGCTTATGTCATTTTTCTGTCACTTGGTGAATGAAGTGATGATCCCTGCCCAGGACTGTTGTCCTGCATCTCCTTGACCCTGCACCCTCTTATTATAACCTTGGATGTCCCAGATCATACTTTCTCCTGGGATTTTATCTCCCATACCCAAGAATATTTAAACGTTTTAAATTATATTATGAAGTCCCATTTCAATTTCTAAAAATTCCTTGATGGACAACATGAAAATAGAATTGAATACCTAGACACACACTAGTCTCCTCTTTATTAAGCCCAAACAGCACTCTCTAAGACCAAGGCTCTGTTACTCACCTTGGTTGCTTTCACAGCATAGATGGGTAGAATCTTCTGTTAGAATGAGTTGAATGAAACAAAAATGAAGTGTTTTTTTTTTTTAAATCAGGCAATAAATGCAATGGAAAAGCAGGATTAGAGAGATGTTTACTTCTCATTCAGGGTGTCAACGCATAATTTATTATCAATTGACACAGACTTTTGAATGATTCACTGGTGGCCCGGCTTTGACTTTGTACAAGGTGAAATAGGATATTTTTGATTCCTCAAAGTAGATGGCATATTCAACTTTCTGTTCAAGCACCTAATTTATTTTCACTGTAGATGTCAATAAAATTCTCTTATATATTGGTTTCCATCAGCACTTGTGTTCTAGGTCAGTAAACACAAATTGAACAGGTCCTTCACCTTGGTGGATAACTGGCTTTATATTCAGATATTAAGGCTCAAAGCGAATAGATGAGACACAAGCAAGTATTAACACTAGCACTCTTCTTCATAGGGCAGAATATACAGTGAAAGAGAAGGGTGTTGAAGTTTCTCACTCCTCTCAAGAAGATTCTAAGTGTCTGTTGGAAAGGGGGAATGGAAGGATATTTTTGTGTGTGTGCATACTCTTGGGTCCATGAGAAAGAAGAGTCCATTCTATCACATTTGGAGAATGAACAGCATTTTTCTTAACTGTTGGTGGCAGTGCAACTCAGTGGTGTTTAGATCAGTGGGACAGCATGGAAAATATGTCTTATTGCCTAGTCTGCCCTGCAATTATAGACACTGGACTTTCTTTTGGGGCCAGTGAGGTAAGTTCTGAGTGTTAGGTGAAACCAAGCAATGGAAGAAAAATCAGCTATCATTTGGTGAAGAACCAGATACCTACTCTCATTTGATGACAAACACCAATTTTGTTGGAGTATTCAGCTGCTGAAGCTATCAGGAAAGACTGCTATTCAGCCATCATCTTTGAAATACAGCTAAAACCAATCACAGTTCCGTAGAGAGCTTCACCAGTATCTTTATCAGGCTATTCAGTTTACAAGGAATAGTCTGAGAACAACAACAACAAAGAAGTCCTGTAAAATGTAGCATTTCATTACGGGGCCCTAGGTCTTAGGAACTGGAAACTCTTGCAACCCATAAAACTAAATAAAATGTATCGTATAAATAGGGAACAATGCTACAATCTCTTTATCAGCTATAGAAATTTTAGCACTAAATACATTATTCTTATAGCCACTTGTTTGGGGAGGTCAAGTATATTTATAAGAATTTGTGTTTTATAAATTAGTTTGGTTAATCAAAAGTAAATTTATCCTATATGCAAAAGGACACAATATTAACTCATGTTAGGATAATCTGCAATAAAAGGACATAAGTATCAACTTACCTTAAGACAACTGTAATAAAATGTAGTAATACTAATGACAATTGTAAGGTGTAGCTTTTTTCATGATTCTTGATATTTCTGCAAGATGGCTTCCTCCTGGACACAAAGACTATAAACTTTTAGCTTATTTTTTCCTTATATCTTCCAGAGTCCTTTATGGGCATTTAGAGAGCTCTTGGGATGTAGAACTGCTAAGTCACTAGGCAGTGTGATGACAAAGAACCTTACCCATTTAACACTGGTCTAGAAGGACAGCGTCTACTTATCTTCAGTGGACTTCTCAAGTCAAGCAGGTTGGAGATTTGTTCTCAGGCCAGCTTTTGTGTGCAGCTTTCTTTCCACTCTTGATCCTTCTGGCAGCAAGTAGAGTTGACATTAAGTATGCTGCACACTGTGTCTTTGTGCATGATGTTTCTCAGTATCTGAAAAAACATCTCAAAGCCACTAATATAAAAATACACGTTTCAACCAAGTTTGAACTGATAAAACAAAAAGTCAGTTACCAAAAAGTATCAGGCTTCTGAAAACATGAGAGTGCATGAGCTGTAGTGTTTTATTATTTGGAGAAGGGAGTGCTATGAGTAAGAAGGGGATCCTGGGAGTCAGCAAAGGAAAATTTTATTCTGCCTCTTTGTAACCAATGTGTGACCTTGGCCAAGTAGCAACTGTGTTGCCCAAAGTTCTTTCATCTGCAAAATGTAAGGTGGGCCTTACCTAATGTTCCATCTGTGGCTAAGGTTCTGCAGTCTTAAGGTCTTATTAGATGTTTGTCACTCGTGAAATAACAGAAGTAGAAATTCCAAAGACAGAATTTCTAAATTGTAGAGATACTTGATGTCATATTACGCAATGATCTTGTGGAGGAGGGAGCTGAATGTCACTTTACCTCTCCAGAAATTTCTGGGTGGCACTACTAATAATGGGAGGCATGAGTGAATAGATTCTGGACCCTGAAGAAGGCTAGTGTGCAAGTAACCCTTTTCTTTCTTTCTCCCTCCCTCCCTCCCTCCCTTGCCCTCCCTCCCTTCCTCCCTCCCTCCTTTCCTCCCCCATCTCTCTCCTTCTTTCCTTCCCTTCTTCCTCCTGCCCTGTACCTGCTTCATACCCACCTCCCCTTTCTCTTCCCCCACCCCCTTCCCCAGTATACTTCAAGCAGTCATATAATTTATAATCCTCCCGCCTTCGCCTCCTGTGGTGAGATTACTGGTGTGTACCATTATATTGAATGCAAGCGATTTTGCCTTGCTTCAAATACACTAAATAACAATGAGAATATTATATATATATAAAAAAGGACTCTACTGTGAGCCTGGAGGTACCTGTGCCAGGGCCATGGTTCAAGTAAAGCATTTAAACGACCAAGTGCGGCAGCTGATGCAGAATACAGAATATCTATCAGGTTAGCAATGCTTGTCTTTTGGGAGAGGTGAATGCTGATACTAAGTAGTTATAGTGGTCTGGTGAGCAAATATAAATAAATGTACTGACTCTGAAGACCTTGGCACAGATGGTATAATAATGAGTTGTTTTGACAAGTCCAAAAAATGTTCCCGTCTCTCCTCTTTCCTTTGATTTGGCACCTACTTTACCTCATATTGATTTGTTCCTCATTTCCCTGGCAACAAAATTCACCTTCTTCCTTATTTTCAATATTATATTCTCCCCACAGAGTTTATTTCTAGTGCCTCCAACTTCTTCCTAAATGATTTAACACATTTTATTTCTCGTTCTCTATTAGCTTTCCTTTCAGTGAAAATATAAAAGCAAAAGAACACTAAACTGGCTTGTGTGCACTGACACACACACACACACAATTGTATCTCCCCAGTTATTTAGGAAGTGAAGGCAAAGGCAGACATGGAATTCTATGTGGTTGGCTTGAGAGTTCCCGCCAAGCGTCTCCAGCAGACATTGCCTCCAAGTCTTTTTTTTTTTTTTTTAAATTTATTTATTTATTATGTATACAGTGCACATATCCCTGCAGGTCAGAAGAGGGAACCAGATCTCATTACAGATGGTTGTGAGCCACCATGTGGTTGCTGGGAATTGAACTCAGGACCTTTGGAAGAGCAAGCAGTGCTCTTAACCGCTGAGCCATCTCTCCAGCCCCCGCCTCCAAGTCTTTTGCCTCTCTGCCTGGCTCATCCATTCCTACCGTAGTAGGACAAATGGTACTTTTGACTGATGCTTATAAAAATCATATACATCCACCAAATGTTTCAACCAGTCTTCACACTGAGTATTCTTTCCTATTTAAACAGAATGGCAATTGCATCAGAGCACAGTAGGCCACCATGGCAATAATGACCGCTTAAAAATCATAGCTACATCTGCAAAGCATTCATGTTTATAAAAGTCCTTTGCAGTCATGATGGTAGTCCAATCTCGCTTGGTTGACTTTTAAGCAATGAATTTTTTGGTTTATAGATGAAGACAGCGAATGTCCCAGAGTACACACATACGCATTTCATCAAGTCAAATGACTTTCATCTCGCTGTAGCTAGAGCCACTGACAGTTTGCTGTAAACTCTGCTGTCTCCATATACCCTTGGCTTGAGTGCTCTGACACAGGAAAGGTCTAGTAGATGAGAGGCTGCAGCATAGTCCAGTTTCTCACTTCTGTCCCAGTCAATACACCTGGCTAAGATCACCTGTGTGCTTGCAGGTGGGTTTTCGTGGAATGGTGCTGTAATCATTGCTCCCCAAATCCCTATCATTTATGATGATGGAGCCTTCATTGTTGTATCTCATTTCTGAAACTTTAAAGTGAATTTGAGAAAATGCCATTACAGTGACTACTAAATTTGGGTAGGCACTTTAAATAAATAAGCACCTAATGAAATATCTTTGCTTTCACGTATACTTTTTTGAGTCATTTAAAAATACTTGGGGGCTGGAGAGATGGCTCAGAGGTTAAGAGCACCGATGCTCTTCCAGAGGTCCTGAGTTCAATTCCCAGCAACCACATGGTGGCTCACAACCATCTGTAATGAGATCTGGCACCCTCTTCTGTATACATAATAAATAAATAAATGTTAAAAAAAAGCAATTTATCTAAAAAAAATACTTTCTCTATTTTTGATGACATGTTTGTATTTGTGTCTGCCTGTCAGTATGTGCACTGATGGGAATGTCGTTCTGTATGCTGTGAGTGTGTGTTGCTCTGATTTGGTTGATAAATAAAATGCTGATTGGCCAGTAACCAGGCAGGAAGTATAGTATAGGTGGGATGAGCTGAGAGGGAAATGCTGGGAACTGGAAGGCTGAGTCAGGATTCACCAGCCAGACACAGAGGAAGCAAGATATGAAGGCAGAACTGAGAAAAGGTACTAAGCCACGTGGCTAAACATAAATAAGAATTATGGGTTAGTTTAAATGTAAGAGCTAGTCAGCGGTAGGCCTGAGCTAATGGCTGAGCAGTTCTAATTAATATAAGCCTCTGTGTGTTTACTTGGGTCCAAGTGGCCTCAGGGCTGTGGGAGCCAGGCAGGGTCAGGAAAACCTCAGCTACAGTGCACACTGGTGCACTGTGGAGGCAGGAAGAAGGTGTCAGATTTCCCTGTGCTGGGGTTACAGGCAGTTGTGAGCAACTGGATGTGGGTATTAGATACAGAACTTGGGTGTGTAGCAAGCACTTTTGACTGCACATCTCTAGACGAGCCATCTCTCTAGCCCCATGAGCCATTAAACAAACAACCCCACGTCTATGATGGACATGTTTTTCTCCCTTCAAATGACATGTATTTTACTACCTTTAAGAAAGTTTTCAATGATTTATAGTCACATTTTATCAAGTTGCTTTGCTGTGGAAAGTCAAGATTAAGGCACATATGGCTTAGCTTCACAGTGTTTTATTTCTCCTTTCTCGTGTAAGAGTCTGGTATTACAGGGAGACTGTCTGTTAGGAGAGGATATGCTGATAAATTCTTTTGAAGTCTACAAAAAGATCGCATCTTTCCTAAAGTTCAGAGGAAATGTACTGAATACTAAATTCAGTACACAATGGCTCTTAGTGTCTGTTCATTCTGAGACTTAAAATATGGCTACCTAATTTGAAAACCTCTGTGACATCAGAGGACCCCAGACAGAAATAAGTTCCTATGAACTGCATCTGAGAAGTCAATAGGATATCATTAAAAAACCAGCATTCTAACTATAGATAGAGCGACCCAAATAATCTGGCCACCTTGAAGGTATGGACGTCAGAGTATCACCAGGGACGGCTACAGAAGGCTCAGTTAGAGTGAGGATGGCAAGCACGGAAGGCAGAATGCATCGTCTTGCTCAAGCACTGCCTTGTTCCTTCTGCAGGTGCTCTTTTGTGAGTATCTAGGTGGCCTGAGTCTCGGTGGCTCTGCCGGCACCCTCTCATTCCATCTCTACCTGAGCTGTATTGTGTAGACTCTTATCAGTGCAGCTCCTCTCAGCTCTCAGCCTCTGACTCCTTAGGCAGCACCTAGAAATGAAGCTTTCTACAGGTTTATGACTCATCATTGCTCCCTGATCACAGACTCCCAGAGAGATGCAATGATGGAGCCCAGTGACCTCGCATAAACTTACAGCAAGAGGTACAGAGTTTTTGATTGACAGCCTTGCTAACTGATCCAGTCAAGAACTGAAACATCAGACGTGGGATCAAGGCCCAGCTCTACCCTCAAGTACCCACTTTGAAGAAGGCCCTTGACCTGCCTGTGCCTCAGTTTCTTCACTTGAGAAGTTGTGAGTTGTGTTTGGAGAATACTCCATTGGAAAGGCGCTACATTTGCTAATCATTTTCAGAGTGTTTACTGTGAGGCAGGGGCCATTGCCCAGAGGTATTGCCCAGAGGCATGGGATATACAAGAATGACAGCAGATGAAAGCTATTTTGTTACTCTTACACATCTCCATGCACACACAAGCCAGCCATTCCATTAGTATTGTCTTTCTGTACCAATGATACAACATGTTTAAAGAAAATCACAGTAAATTATATTTTTACATGACTTTCTAGCTCTTTCAAGTGCAAAGATTCATGGACATATACTACTGTCAAATGTTCCCTTTGTTTTTACAATTGGTTGATAAAGAAGTCGGGGAATGTAGATCTGTGGGCATTAGGAAGTTCTCGTGTCTTAGGTCTTCCCAGACCTTTCCTTAGTGGAGGGTGGCTGCTGTGTACCCAAGATGTGGTCAAACACGCTCCAGAGGGCAGCCCAGAGCTCTCCTACAGGCTGTGCCAGATCCCTGGCATGCTTCAACCTCAGCCTTGCCACCTTCAGACTGCTGATTCATGCTCCTGATGCAAGCTTAATGACCATGAATTGGCTCCATTTTTTTCTTTTCCTTCTTCTTCTTCAGGAACATTTTCTTGGTAACCAGGCAGATGATATGCTAATGCAAATTGGCAGACTTGAACTCAAACTACAAAAATACGATCTGCC